ATTCTGTTGAAACGGGAATCAATTTCTCCTCTCTTTGAAATTATAGTGCTTATCCATGCTCAACGACATGGATAATATGAAATCAGGAGTAAATGTTGCAGAAAATGTCCCCGCGATTTTCAAAGAACACAATTCCAAACCAAATGTGTATGCATTTTGGGGGTAGATTTGTTCTAAATGATCTGACTCTCAATCTAGTATGTTGAATATTTATCTCATGTTCCATGTATCAAGTTCTGATCCGAAGCCCGCGTGGACCCGAAATCTCTGTTCCCTGTAAATGGCAAGCGACAAATAGTGTCTCCCGTCGCCGCCAAACGCTGGAGGCGGACAAGCACGCCGACAATCCGTCTGAAGAACACAATGGCTTTTCACGGTGTAATTGGTTTAGCTAATAATGACCCCACTATACACGACCACAGGGGAGGGGCCATTAGCGGAACTACCTTTTCAATGATTAACAAAAAGGCTGAACACCCACAAGGTCTCCTTCTGAAAGCACCGTCACATCGTAGGGTGGAATCTACCACGGGGGATCATGTACAATAGATTCACATTGAATATCACATTAAAAAATAGTATACCGCGAATTTGTTGAAAAGACATCCACATGGAATCTGGAGCATGCCTGACCCAAACATGGGTTTCCTTGTATCCATGATAAGGTTACTGAATATTGATAGTGCACTCCACGTTTATGTTTATTTATGCATGTAAATGTCTATATGTTTGGTTCATATTGACGTGAAAGCGAGGCTACCGGAAGGTTGCAGATCATCTACCGACTTTATGAGTAAGAGAGTCATAGGCTGAAACTGTAAATAACGTAAACTCGCGTAAGACAATATTTGAGGAATAGTTCCCCATACAGTGAACGCTCGCTTCTCCGGAAACCCAAAAATTACCAACTCATAGTATCAATCAGTCGGGGATCGAACCCAACTCCTATCCCAAATGTAACGTTCTACCTAGCAGATCACAGATGTGATCGCCAGTTATAAAGTTAAAGGGACACCATTACTTCATATTCTAGATTCGTTGGTCCACATATTCTACGTCTAGGTTAACCTTGTATGAATAGTGTTTCACTGTATCCCGTTATTTCAGGCTTGAACAGGAACATCCGTGTGGATATCGAGAAGCGAGTGACAAGCTAAAAACAGTACCGCAGCAATGCCAAGACCGTGAAAAAAGGATACAGACAAACGCTGAAGAAGTGAGTGAGTAGATGGTTGTTTTGCCCGTCATAACAACAACATAACATAGTTGCGTGTGAAGCACGCCGATCCACCCCGTCAGGGTACAACTACATCCATCCATGCCGAGAGACGAACTCGGATTTTGAGAGACCAGCGAACGCTACAACCGCTAGGCAACCAAACATCTCCTTGAGAGAAGTTTGCTCTATTAGAATTATGTTCTCACGATGCAAGCCTGGAGGAATACACCCGAGAAGCATGACTTAACAGTGTCGTATGTTTACCCATTTGTTCACAGAAGGTGTGTGAAAGGGCAACACTCTCGACACATTTTCCCGATCAGACACCCGAAAGAACAGCCTGGCAAGCTCAGTTTTTACAGCCCGGGTTTTAATAGAGAAATCAACACTACCCCAGTTGAAGGATATCATCAGAACGTATGCGTTATACCTTATGGTGGTCACCATATAGAATAGCAGCGAGACATAGCGGGTCCCTGCTCACATAGCCACAATGAAACACAAGTCAAGCGAGACCGCGATTATCTGTACGATCTTCTGAGCCTGGAGTAGGATGATCACTCTCAAGTCCTCAGTCTGCAGGAATGTTCTCAAATCTATTGTTAATTCCTGCTGAGATAAAACCTTAATCCTGATTTCACACATATCTCACAAGAAGGCCCCCATCTGCCTTGCTGCGCTATCAAATCTCAGTCCCGCTCATAAACGTCTTCCCAGAAATCACTGTACCCTAACCTCTCAAACATGTATGCAGGGTCTGCATGTGTAACTAAATTAAACCAAGGCATACCTACACCGATAGTGTTTTACCCACATTAGCTTGATCAGTCCGCAATAGATTTCTGTGTCTGTTCATGGCGAAGATTTATGTTGTTTATCTAAGATCTTTATTAGGTAATACGCCCCCTCGGAGCTCTGCTATTATTCTCCACTGTAAACAAGTAACCAATGACTGCAGTCTCTCTATCTCCCTTCTACTAAAGTGACGGCATAAAATACGAGCATGGCTTTAACAACCTTTCAAAGGAAGGAAATTTGATATTATTCAAATTCAAAATTCTCTTTAATGCTAAAAAAGGCTTTATCACCGACATTTAAGTGGAGAATCCCGAGACTATAATATACACTTTGTTTATGGTATGTATGAAGCATCTACTTTAACGCCGGCTAGAGAGAGACAGTTACTAATGCAACAATGCATAGTGACACATAAACATCCAAAATTGTGAAAAAACATACCATTTGTGTCAGGACCCTTCTAATAAGGTAATTTTGAAGTGGGGATGTATGTTCACACCACCATGTTGAGAAGTTCAAATGACAGTTCATGTCTGCAGTGTTTGTTGTCTAACAGCCTCAGCGTCAGATACACCTAGAGATATATTGATGATTTCTTGTCGATTTATTCCTACATTATGTATAAACCAGGTGGAAATTGATATGCGAGAAATCTACGAAAATCCCAACCCACCCACCCCACCCCACCCCACCCCATGAAGAAGAAAAAACACATCCAAAAACAGGATATTAATATTTTAGTGGCAACTGAATACATATGCACCTTTTTGTGTCGACTGCAGTCCCGATCAGGTAATTAATGTCATAAACACCAAGTTATTCGAGTTCATTAAAACACAGTTGGGATTTGTGTTGTACAGCAGTAAACGGAATGCACAAGTAAATATGCAAATTGGCAGAAATAGGTGGTGTTAGAGTGAGCTGCATCCCAGGCCGGGTATCCTACCCCCGAGAACAACGAAGGAGGCAGTGGTCAGCCTTGCAGCTTGACAAATCTAGTAAATCCCGGGCGTGTCACAACCAAGACTGATGCAGGCCGTACGGGTGCTTCCCCAAACACCTCCGGGCTAACTCTACCCAAACTGCCGAAAAGTTTGAATTTGGACGCGCATTACCCAGATACCAGCCTTTTAGACCTGAAGCCAAGAGGTCAATAATTACACTTAAGTCAAATTGGTTTTCAAACTAAATGCATTCGGCTTGGTTTGCTAATCTCTGTTCTTCTGTCCGCAATAAGGGATGAAGTAACGGTGGACTGGGTGCGTACATGTATAGATAGGTGGGCGATGACTGCATTGGTGTAGAATGTCTTAGCCTGGCCATTAAACTCATTTGCCTAATGATAGCCTATTAAGGGTGGGGGATGTGGAGATAGTGGATACTGCGGTAGAAACGTGAGCTGGGCTCCTCTACCCAGTCATCTACTATTTCACAGATATGGGAAAAGGTGGAGTGCGGATAATGAAATACTTACCTGGTTGGACACATAAAATTATAAAATATATTTTATAGGCTATACCGGCCACGTAGACAAAGAACCATCGTCCCTATAAATGTTGACAAACATTCACACTATGACACTGGCAGGTTTAAGATCAACTTCAAATTTGACACTTTGAGTGAAATAAACTTTTATTCAGCTACTACCGGTGTTCGGTTTTTAGAAAGTTGTTTCATAATGTGATGTACTTTAATGAGTGACTTAAACATTCTTTGAACAGTTCGCCCCCAGGTTGACGCAAATGTAAGGCAGGTTTTAGACGTCGCTACAGCGTGCAATTGGTACAACTGAACTGAATATTTAGTTTTTGGTACATCACTTTCATGCTCACGGATTAGAAGTTAAATACGTACATCAAGATAAATGTTACAAAAGTTAGTGCAACCTTCGCCGTGTAGCTAATCACCCACACCCCCAGGATGTGTATCCGCAGAATTCCCCACCCCCGCGTCACCGTGACCACCCTGCCCCTCACCCACGGGCGAGAGCCTTACTGTCGCCAGCTTAATACGTTGTTTGTTAACTGGCGGCATATTTTATAAATATTGCAACACACTCGCAGACAGCGATGAAAGAGTTCTCATTATATCATTAATTTTAAATCAATCACTCCTGGAGTCAAGACGTTTGCCTTCCCTACTTTCACATGTCTCTTGTGAAGCTTTACATATAATTCATATCTCCTTGCCCACGTTTAATAAACTGTCAGCAAAGCTCCACGGCGTAGAATTGGTTTTAAATTGAAACAAGTTTTAATTACCGCTAGAAATTGTACAGCGGATAGAGTCAAGCTGTGTGTGAATCTCTGTGGTAGCCTCAATCCTTTCCTTCAGACATCGGAGGATAGGTACGTGGAATCGGTACAAATCCATTTTTCTTACACAGAGATGTAAGATTATTTTGCATGTTTTTGGCGAAGCAGGCCGCGCGTTGACAGAGTGGTTCGTGTTCGTATCTAGTCGTTCTCACACTGGCGCCGACTGGGAACCCCCAGTGCGATCCCACCATCCGTATAATTATCGCAAAACAAAAACTCTCACCACCTCTTATGGTCGGCGCATCCAACAGTTTATAATGAAGTTTTCGGGCCGCGTCCTCCTAGCAGTTGAGGACCCTGTCCCGTGCCAGGTCAGTGGTAAGGGAAATGCACAACGCGATCGGTGTCACATAGGCTAGCGCTGACGATTTGGTTCCTATCTCTCACTACCCTGTCCTCGTGGGTCGACGAAATCTAAACATACATTTCCCCGTGGGGTATCGAGGAGAGGGGCGGGGTCACCAGCTCTTCAACCATCACGCTCCATTTGCATGCCTAGCGGCGCACTTGCTAAGCTGTATCAAATCGGTTAGAAGATAACCCCATTGGCTGACGAGGGCCGGTCTTAGCAGTGAGCCCCACCTCCTTGGATATGAGTGACAGGTGAACGGCTGTGCATGACGCACTACGATAAACTCGAGAGACTTCCCATGTTAATAAATACACTGAAGACAATTGTAATGAAGACAGGACTAAATGTATGGGATTCTAGTTGAGATACATCTACGGATCCAGCGCCTGCTCATCATTAAGTGTGTGGACTCGACTCGTGCTGGTTACTCCTTGCCGTGACACAAGGATAAAACCGTGCCCTAACCCTAAGCTTATACTGTCGGCCACGAGGCCAAGGGTGACGGAGTTTACCTATCTACCTATCTGTTCCCCACATACTTTGTCAGGACGTCGGACGATCAAAAACCAGCCCCAATGCTGCTGGAAGGGTCAAGCCCGGACATGATGGCAGCTCAGTCCAAGCTGTTGTTCCAGCTCAACAAATACTACAATGAACGGGTGCAGTCCCGGAAGGGAACGGTGTCCAAGACTGTCCGCGAGGTCTGCAAGGTGGTGCAGGACGTCCTCAAAGAAGTAGAAGTCCAGGAACCAAGGTTCATCTCCTCCCTGACCGAAGTGAACGGCAGGTATGAGGGTCTGGAGGTTGTGTCCCCTTCAGAGTACGAAGTGGTGTTGTACCTCAATCAGATGGGGGTGTTCAACTTCGTGGACGATGGCACTATCCCCGGGTGTGCTGTGCTCAAGCTGAGTGATGGACGAAAGCGATCTATGTCTCTGTGGGTAGAATTTATCACAGCATCCGGGTACCTCTCAGCACGGAAAATCCGTTCCCGTTTTCAGACGCTCGTGGCCCAGGCTGTTGACAAATGTAGCTACCGAGATGTTGTGAAAATGATCCCTGATACCACGGAAGTAAGGTTGAGAATCAAAGAACGATTTATAGTTCAGATTACCCCTGCGTTTCGATGTGGAGGTATTTGGTGCCGATCGGCCGCCCACTGGCCGGTTCCTCACACCCCATGGCCAAACCCAAACCTGGTGGCAGAGGTGAAAACCGAGGGATTTGACTTGTTATCTAAAGAGAGTATCTACATGAAGGATAAACAGTCGGCGGCGGAGGGTGACGCCTGGGTGATGTCATTCCGCTATGCCGAGGACAGACTACTGTACGGGGGATGTAGAAGGAAATGTCTGAGCATTCTCAAGGCTCTACGGGACCGACACCTGGACCAGCCCGGCCAACCTATTATGAGCTACCACCTGAAGACCCTGCTCCTTTACGAGTGTGAAAAACACCCGCGAGAAGTGGAATGGGACGATACCTGTTTGGGGGACAGAATCAACGGAATTCTTCTTCAACTTATATCCTGTCTTCAAAACAGACGGTGCCCCCATTATTTTCTGCCAAACGTTGATCTCTTCAAAGGAAAGTCAACATCAGCCATGGACAATGCTGCTAAACAGGTATGGAGAATACTTCGAGAACTGCTCACAAATCCAAGAAGCCTGGACAAGCTCTGACAAGCAACACTTGTGTTTTAGGATTTTTAATTCTTGTTGGTGTAATTCTACAATGGAAGTATTGTCATCGGGCTCTTGTGACGTGGTAAGTGCGTGTCTACAGCGAGCTTGCATGTGATATCACTGACGCTATTTCCCCATTTCCAGGGGACGTATTTATACCAAAATCGGGCAAATATACCATTTACCATTCGAGAACTATTCATATTCTCGCCACTGAACAATACTCAAAATTCCTATGATGGGACATGTGATTACTTTGTGACTCAACAGAAGACGTTTCAGGTTGAAATGGCATATCCAAAGATTCGTGTATCATTTTTATCGCAGTATTTACTGCAAATGAACTTTTAATATCGTTGCACCGTATGCTCATGTGTACATATGCTTCATTCTTTTCATTTCTCCCATGCTCATGTCGGTGTAAAATTATGTATTTAAGTAATCGAAATAAACCGCGTATTACATTGAAAGTGACATTTTTTCAATTTATGAGCAGAGATTGTATAAGAGTTGATACACACGACTGGAGACTGAGGTCGGATGCCGCTCAGCATCCATACACGAGAGCGATGGAAAATAATATCCGACTGTGAGATACATAAGCAAATACGATACTGCCAGTTTATTTTCTTAACCATGCTTTTCTACAGCGTATGTTCATGGTTGACGGACTTGGCATTTTAGGTTTATAAACACAGAAACATATGGAAGAACACAGCGCCGTCTACACGCATAACAGACGGAGTCACTCCCAAGTTGACGATGTCTACATACCCCCAAAACTCCTTCATAATGATTTATGGCCGCATAAATATTCTGTTATTCTATGGGAATTTTTTTACTGCTTCAAAATGAAATGATTGATGTGTATAAGTCAAACACGAGGAATAAGTACATGTAGTTAATTTAAAAATGCAGGAAACATATTTTGGAGTGTTCTTCGTCATTAACTTCGGGTCTGTGCATTTAGATCATACGATGGCTGACAACCTCAGGTACTTGGTTAACAGAATTCACGTCAACCTTAGCTTCCTACTTGAGTCGAAGTAACGTCCAAAAATAACAGTGGAAACAGAATTTCTATGTTTCTTATAAAACACATACGAGCTGGAATCAACGTAATTGTTCTACTGGTAATTTTAACAAGACTATCGTTACCTTTTCATTTTACTGGTAATTACATTACAACTAAAGGTAGACCGAGACGGGTTACCTCTAAACCCAGAGACAAGATGCCGTGTAAATACAACATAACTCTGTAATTCGTAACAGGTGCACGAGTAGCTAGATGGATATTTTAATTACAAGTGCCAGGGGCGAGAATGATTCATTAAGGAGGAAAACTCAAATTGTTTAAAAGCATTTCCTGATTTCAGTGGAGTAACTAGGTCATACAATCCCCAGGCCTGCCATTTATCAAACTGAAATAGCTAGATGACAACGTTTACTCGGAGGCTAGTCGGCAGGAAAACATATTGAACTGAAGGAGATACTGCAACCACTTGAACACAAGAAGCATGGCATGTCGTCATCGTTCCTAACATGCATTCTTGGTAATAACATGGGCTTTGGTTACTCAATGTAACGTTCGGTGTGCTTAAGACAAGAGCGTCTAGTTATAGCTCAGGCGATTCAACTCATGAAAACATACACCGTAGAAGGAAGCCTACTGTATAATGTTTCAAAATTTAACTCTTAAATGCTTTTTGTGTTCAAGACAAAGTAAACATACCGTTCAGGAAATAACCATATCCTCATTACAATTACTGAAGAGATTTGTATCGCATATGATCCAACGAAGCGAATTTACAATGCATATATTGCAGCATGCTGTACGTATTTACTTGAAATAGTTATCCTCATAAACCTATTGATGACCTATAGGATCTTACATAGCGAATTATGATCATACATAGCGAATATACAACATAAACAATACATCCCGGAACTGTTAACAATGTGTAGAACTTATTTATTTATGTGGATTTATTTGATTAGTGTGCTTTTCACAAACGCTATGATATATTCCCAACTATTCATTTAGACACAGGATTGTCACAGTTATATCAATATTGAGGCATTGTTTCGCTACATAGATAACCATTATTGTTCACGCATTCGACACTACTCCTCAAATTCTGGCATATCCAAGTCTATGAAAAGGTATCTGAACATACCTTACCAGTGCCCACCGTACCTGAGACATACTGTATACTGTTCTAAATATTCACGCTTTTCACTGAAATACCAACTGAACATAACCGAAAATAATATGTCGACTACACTATACCATACAGACAATAAGCTGAATAATATATGTAAATGCAAGACTCGTCATAACACAACAGGTCCTGTCTTTGATAAGTCACTGACAGTTAGTAGGTAGTATAATCTGCGCTTTCTATATTTCTCATTGTGGGGTCTGTTTTGAAGAATAAAATCTGTCATTTAGTAAGGGTCTCCACGAGTACTTCACACCAAGTCAACTCCCGAGGCAAGATCTCTCAACTCTTCATGCAATCTCTGATTTTCAATTATGTTCTGGAAGCAGTGGATACAGTTTCATCAAAGCTGTTGTCCTGCTGAGAGGCGAAACAGCTTAATTGAAACGCGATATAAGGAAATGCAGGAGAGTGCTATTTCAGCACTTAAAATACGTAGGCCCAGAATATAACAAGCACAAAGATATTCATTAAAATATGTAAATAATATTCTTGACAATAAGCATAAACCCGTTCAGTCAAAAACATTTAAATTGCTGATTGAAAAAACACAACATTACTTGACTGCTTTGGCGAAGAGCATTTTGATTTTCTTATCACCTGGATCAACAAATACATTTGTTTATCATAGCATACACCTATTATTGGATACATTAGAATTATGCGTCGTTTTTGTAATAACCTGTAAGAACATTGTAATTTAATATGCATGCGTTATAATTACACTAATAGTCAACGGTATTTCATACTTGGCTATTCGCGGTATGACCGGTCGACCTACAAAGACAACTAGGTGGGGTGGCGTTTATTACTTGCCGTAAACGAGAGATTGTGACTGACAAAAACACCTAAACTGCCTGCTATTCATGGCAGGTTATCATACTGTTAACGACTTGGCGAAACATCACTAATTCTAGCAGATATGACACTCCTATTAACGAAAAGAAACATCTGGCCAATATAAAAAGGTGTGTTTCAAGATGACCGTTCAGAATCGTCCAACATGCATACAGATATTCTTGTGGATATTAGGGTTTAAAGTTTCTAAAAACCCGGAGCTCATTTATGCTGCAATAAGTAAACATATAAATGTAATATTTCCCATGATATAAAACGGTTTAAGATTATATACTCATCATAAATGTCTCTTTTAGTTGGGGGTCTTGAATTACAGGTAAACTTCACAAAGTGACGACGAGAACCCTGACTGTACAGGTATTTGACCTGTAGGTATTTGCCCTTAGTAGCATGACGCGGTTAACATTAACGTTATTTTGAACACCTATGGTCACGATTACTTGTTGTGTTATGTGTGTATCATAACTAGCATAAAACATCTACGTCATCAAAGAATATTGATATTAAGCCTTAATTTTTTTTAATCCAAATCAATCGAAGTACACTTAACCAAATATCCACACCGGATACCTAAATTTCGTACATTGTATCGAATAGTAAAACAGAAAATTCATTGACTTATCCCGTTCGACAAAAAAACATTCTGAAAATTTGACACTCTCATCTCCTCAGATCGACATCTGCAGCCTCAGTGGCGAGCGCTTTAGGTGGTCCACAGCCCGCACACGAAAAGTGTTTTTTCATTAACTCCAACCGGAGCTAATTAATTAGGATCAATGCGGCCAAGACTTGTTGATAGTAGCACTGAATAAAGAGAAAACATTTAAAAGAGAAAGGTGTCGCAGTTTCATTTTAACATGCCCTGGAAGGAGGTATTTTCACAGATTCGAACGAATAAGACTCTTTTCTCATTAACCCTTATCCAACAATCTTCTTGCACATCTAACGACCGATTAAATTTAATTAGTATCAGTATTTAATCTAAAAAGCAAGTGTATCAAGTTTTATGTGCAAAAGGCATTTAAATCTCGAACTGAAGAAGGAAACGTACATTCTTCCGAGGAATAATTTGTTTTTCGTTTCAATTGTTTCTGAATGAGTTTTCATATTCATTTTCGTCAACTTTATATTTTAATAACGACGATGAAAATGCGAATGGGAAGGACAAATGACACCCCAACTACACAGATTTACATAAAGAGGATACTTAATATCTTACAATTCATAATCAACGACCCAGTACATTAACGAAAATATGTACTGCCGGCTAAATTCAAATCCATATTACTTCAACAAACGATTATTCGTCTAACTCACAAAAGGAATCTGTCCAATTATATATACATATATATATATGCAAAATGGATATTTTATGACTTGAGATGAGAAATTATATTTTCGAATTGTTTTCGGTCAAGCTATAAACATAAAACACCATATCAAAAAGAAAACCAGCTCTGATATTCTACATCTGTTCACACAAGAGATTATCTTCCTGTTGCAGCCTAATTATCACAGTGAAGATGGACTGTATGAAGTAGGTTCCAGTTACTTTGGGGATATCAGGAAACGCCAGAACCACGCTTGTAACTTGCTACACGGTTCGAGAAAAGACGAAGGTTCTGTTACAATTAAATAACAAGTAATACCTAATCTAGATACCATTTATCAACACAATCGGTTGCATTGCAAGTAAAATACTGCTACAAATGAATGTAGATATACATTTATTGGGTGAGAACAAATTACTTATTCTGCGTGATAATATTGTGTGCCTATGAAGGTAAGTAACACCAGTATATATAAGACAGAATACCTTCCAGTGTTGGGCGTTTGTTGAATAACAGCTACATTTGTTTGTTTTGTTACAGGATTTACGAAAACAATTTCCTATTTTGTCATATTGACTATGTATTTTAACATGGAGGCATATCTGTTCATCTAGCCCGACTTTTCACATTGTAACATAAACGTTGAGGCATTATTTTGATGTTGTATATTTCAAATATATAATATATCAAGAAAAGCTTTTAATTCGACAGACAACATGTGTAAGAAACATACAGGTAGGTATATGTCACAGCAGACTGTAACAACAAAACGCCGGGACTAAAGAGTAGTCATAATTGTTGAAAATAATATGTCGTAAAGTACCGCCATAGCCACACGTGTGTACTGTGATGATTTAATTGTACATTGACTGCACAATAATACATAACAGAGAATAATAATCGATGATTTTGTTACAAAATTCACTGAACCCAGACTGTTTAATGTCCAATTAGCTTCAAATGAATGTACACATTAAACTGTTCCAGGATATCCAGAAAAATAACAATACTGTCTTAAATAAAGTTTGTAAATTATCATCCTGAAGATAGTACTACTTT